GAGAGAGCAAGATCAAGCAAGAAAGAGCAAGCATCCGCCCCTGTGTTTGCACTTTTGTCTCTATATCTCACTTAGTACGTGGGTTTCTCTACGTCTCTCTGAATGTCTCTCACGTTGCATCTCTATCTGAATTGGCCTTAAATGAGACAAATCATTACATGAAGTTTTAAAAGTTACACTTTTCTCACAAATTTAATTCTAGATGAATATAATTGTTAAATGTGAAGAAGAAGATAGTCTGTTGAGTTTTTTTTTTATGTTGAATGGGAAAGGAGATTTTTAATCACAAAGTAAGTAAAAATATTAACCAAAAAAAGAATAATATATTTAATTATAAAAAAGATTATTCCACGTGTTCTTACCAAATTAACATTTTAAATTAAATGAATTCTTAGTTCGTACATTGAAGAAGTATGATGTAAATAAAATGTCCTTTTTATACAATAACTTTGGAAACAAAATCATAAAAATTGATAACTATTACATTCTTGGAGGGATCTATCTGAATGAGCTGCAAAGATTTATAGACTGGATGTTCACTCAGGTTTCTTTATATAGGTGAATATTGGAAAACAAGGTGGTTATCCAAAAATAGGTGATAGTACATAAATTGTGATACAATGATATGACAGTCATAACACATGAAAAATCCTGTTTTTGACACTTAAGAGCCAATACCTTAGGATAATGTTCAGAATATAATATTAATAAAGAAGAATATGTAGCTCGAATGCAGTGTGATTGTAACTTTTCATTACATACATGGTTATATGAAAATAATGTTGGTATAGTAAGATTACAGATTTTTTAATTCATTTTAAAACTTTCCCGTGCTTTCCAAATTTTCTATGATGTGCATGCATTTCAAAATCAGAAGAAATATACCTTCTCTTCCCATAACAGTAAAAAATGAATCAGTTCATTTTTTCTCATACACCTCAAAGCATGATCTTCTGGGTTTGTTTCAGAAGGGAAGACCAGTGGTGCCTGGGTGACTCGGTCAGTTAAGGGTCTGAGTCTGCATTTAGGCTTAATTTGATCTCAGGTCCTGGGATGGATCCGCCAGTGGAATCGTGCTCAGGAGGGACTCTCAGGATTCTTGCCCTCCCCCTGACCACGTGCTCTCTCGCTCTCTCTCGCTTTCTCTCTCTCAATAAATAAATTTAAAAAGTAAAATAAAAGAGAAGACCATAAAATAAAGATATCTTAAGAGTTACATAAGTGGATTTGATATTTTTAGACAAAAGCCTTACCCTAGTATTGATAATACGATTTTCTCTATCAGTCCAATCATTTTTGGATGAATATTTATCCTCATTTAGTAAACTTGTCTGGCTGTAGCACACACAGGTTAAAGTCTGTGGAATTTGGTTTATAAACACCTTCTTACTATTTTCTGGAGTGCGCAACACATTTTATAAGTAATGATACTTGCTGAGACTCATCTCTGACCTGGAAAGCATCCAAGAGCTATACTATATAAACGATTGTTCTCTGTTCAAGCAGAATAAATCCTAAGATTAGCAGCACTACTGTCTTATACAGAAAAATGATAGCAGAAAATCCAAGAACGAACTCCATGGCAGGTTGGCCATCTCCAACATGCCCATGGGAGGTGGGAACCAGTACACAGCTGCTCCTCTGTCTTGAAAGGAGCTGCTTGTATCTTGAGTGAGCTTTTTTCTCTGTCTGCAGAATGTTTACCTTCAACCCCGTTGATGCGGGGCTAAGGAAATCAGCAGCTTGGAGTCTTATTTTCAATATGTCCACACTCTTGCTTGCCTCCTAGTTTATTTTTTTAATTTAATTTTTATTTTATCAAATAAGGAATTCTATAGTTTAAAAAAACCAAGTAGTACTCTCAAAATAAAGGTAACCCCTAGCTATCAATACCTGATCTCTAGAAGTAAACGCCCTTCATTATTTTAACATATTTTTGGTTGTTATCTAGTCATATATTTCTCAATAAAATACGTATGTTACTAATTTCTTGATTTTTTAGTTTTAATTGTCATCTACCTGGCTTCCTACTCACATATTCTTATAGATTGTTTCTTCTCCCTCTTTGGCACCAATATAATTATCCCGATAATCAGGTTTTTTTAAGTTATTATAAAGAAATTATAATATGTACATTTTATTCACAGCTGAGGCACATCATGTAATTAAAAGATCATTACCATTTTATTTTTTCAACTTTTCTTTTCTAATAATTGCTTCTTAGAAAATTTGGCTTTCTAAACACCCAATGAATTAGGATCTAAATGAGTTAGTATTGAAATACTCTCAAATTCTCCATTGCAGTTGAAATTTCTCACTATAATTTAACAGCACTTGGAGTATTTTTAAGTAATTCTGTTTATTTTTTTTTTAAAGATTTTATTTATTTATTTGAGAGAGAGAGAGTGAAAGTGAGAGAGAGCATGAGAGGGGAGAAGTTCAGAGGGAGAAGCAAACTCCCCATGGAGCTGGGAGCCCGAAGCGGGACTTGGTCCCAGGACTCTGGGATCATGACCTGAGCCAAAGGCAGTTGCTTAACCAACTGAGCCACCAGGCATCCTTGTTTATTTTTTTTTTCTTGAAGACCATCCCCCTGGATAGCTTTAAGAATCAGCCATTGTCCCACCAAATGTGAACAGTATTCTGATTTCTGTCACTACAGATTAGTTTTGCTCTTAGATCAGAGCAGAAGAGTTTAACGATCTCACCATTTAGTATTCATACTTTTCTGTAACACTACTGTCTTCAGTAGATTCCTCAACCCCAGACTGGTGACTGTCTGGATGGGCTTCTCCAGAAAGTTCGTCTCTGGTATCTGCATAACACGTAGCGAGGGCAGACGCCCAGATGCATTGTCTATGTTGGAATATCTAAGGGTGCAGGGGCTACTTAGACATTTTCAATCAAGCCTTCTGCCTTCCTCATTCTTTTTGCTGCTTCCATAACACCTCAGAGCATGTTTTGTGTTCCCACCTGCAGGCCTTTATGCCAGCCCTTCCCACTGAGTTAATAGATAAAAATCTTTCCTTTAAGACTGAGAAGGAACTGAGATAAAGAATGCACTCAGTTGTGTATTTTTAATTATAAGTGTCAGGGATATTGATTTTTATTGTTGTTGATGTATTATTATTTCTTGTTAATTTTATAATTATTTTTGGCAAGGATGGGAGTCGCTCAGGGGGAATCATGGATTTATCATAACTATACTTACAGTATCTTCTTACTCTAATTCATACTATATTCTTACTCAGTTTTTTTGGTAAATATAATTGACATTTAACATTATGTAAGTCATAGGTGTATAACATAATGAGTCGATATTTGTGTATATTGCAAAATGATCACCAAAATTAATCTAATTAATGTCCAATATCACACATAGTTATAAATTTCTTTTTCTTGTGGAGAAACTTTTAAGATTTACTCTTAGCAACTTTCAACTATTCAGCCCAGTATTTTTAACTGTACTCACCTTGCTGTATATAACATTCCCATGACTGACTTATTTTATATCTGGAATTTTGTACCCTTTGATCTCCTTTACCCATTTCACCCTCACCCCACTCCTTGACTCTGTTGTCTATATCAGTGAGCTTTACATGGGGGATTATTTTGAGTTTTGTTTTTGCTTTTGTTTTTAGATTTCACATATACATGAAATCACATGGTCTTGGTCTTTGTCTGATTTATTTCATTAAGCATAACACCCTCAAGGTCCATCTGTGCTGTTGCAAATGGCAATATTTCCCTTCTCTTGGCTTAGTAATATCCCACTGTGTGTGTGTGTTTGTGTGTGTGTACTACAGTTTCTTTGTCCATTCATATGTTAGTGGGCACTTGAGTTGCTTCTGTGTCCTGGGTACTAAATTATGCTGCAGTGAACATGGTGGGGGTGGGGGGCAAATATCTTTTCTACTTATCCTTCACTTAAGTGCCCAGAAGTGGAATTGCTGGATCACATGGGAGTTTTATTTTTAATTTTTGGAGGAACCTCTCTCCTATTTTCCATAGTGGCTGTACCAATACACATTCCCACCCACAGAGCACAAGGGTTCCCTTTCCTTTGTCCTTGCCAACACTTGTTATTTCTTGTCTTCTTTTTAAAATAGCCATTCTAACAGGTGTGAGTTTCTCATTTTTGATCAGTGTATAATTCATGTTAACATAGTGCCTGCTGAATGTAGAGTAAAATATAGTTCTATTTCTCTTTCAATTCTTAAGTATCAGTCAGAAGAAAAAATGTGAGAATATTGCATATTTAAAAATATTATTTATAATTGCCAAGTCATAGGGCCTGGTGATGGGTAGTAAGGAAGGCATGTATTGCATGGAGCATTGGGTACTATACATAATGAATCTTAGAGCACTACATCAAAAACTAATGTACTGTATGGTGACTAACATAACAGAATGAAAAATAATAATATTTATAAGCAGTTGTCATAATATTTGCAAGTCAAATATTATAGGGATTAGATGATATCAGTGTATCATTTATCCTATGCTAGGCCCTGGGTTTATTATATACTACAGTATACAGTCGAGAGAGGTATTCTCATTTTTACAGGTGAATAAATGGAGAATCGCAATGGTATTCAACCTTTTAGTTCAAAGTTATATAGACAATAAGTAGTAGAGCTAAGAGTACAAACTCAAGTATATTTTATAATTTTTTTAAAAGTAATGCTTTTTTTCCTGAAATAAGCTTTCTTCCTTACCTGATCTCTACCAAAATAAGGCTTTCGTAATCTGGAAGGTAAAGATCTTTTACCAGATATGGGGTAATAAAAGCTCTATTATTCTAGGCCAGTGTTAGTTTCATTAGCTATTGTACGTGGTTCAGCAACAGTTAAACGTGATTTTTTTTTTTTTTTACTTCCCTTCCATTATTGCATATGTGCAACTTACTTCTGGATATTTGCCAATAAAGTCATAGTAATGAAAGAAAGAATGGAGAACTGGAAATAATAAATTACAAGTAAAATCTTTTCTTCTAACAGAGAGAAGGAGAAAAAGATCATCAAGTGCGTTTGGCAGTTGGAAATGGTGTACGGAGTGATGTATGGAGGGAATTTTTAGACAGATTTGGAAATATTAAGATGTGTGAGCTTTATGGAGCTACTGAAGGAAACATTAGTTTCATGAATTACACTGGAAAAATAGGATCCGTTGGGAGAACAAATTTCTTTCACAAAGTAAGTACAGTATTTTCCTTCCATAAATATACTGAGGTCAGTTTACCTCTCTTCTAGACTTCCTGTTTATAAATTATGGTAAATACAATCACTTTTCCTTTTTCTTTTCTTTTTTAAGTTGAGAACGTCTATAAAGTCATAGCTTCTAGGTGAACCATAGGTTATAAAAACCTCAACTGTCTCCTTGGTTTTCCTGTATAATGTGGGGATAATGATACCCAAGTGTTTTTTGTTCTATCTTCAAAGTTAATAAGATAATATATAAAAAACAAGCAAAGTTTCTGATACATGTCAATTTGACTCTTTCCATTTTTCCTGAGTCTTTTCAATCTACTGTTCCTGCTTACACTTCATTTTTATATCACTCAAAAATTATGTATAGGTTTCTGAGGCTCCTGGGTGGCTCAGTGGGTTAAGCCTCTGCCTTCAGGTCATAATCTCAGGGTCCTGGGATCAAGCCCTGCATCGGGCTCTCCACTCAGCAGGGAGCCTGCTTCCCCTCTCTCTCTGCCTGCCTCTCTGCCTGCTTGTGATTGCTCTCTCTGTCAAATAAATAAATAAATAAAATCTTTAAGAAAAATTATGTATAGGTTTCTGATAAACCAAGATACCACTAAAATCTTAAAAAATCACTTACCTAGGAGTAAAAGGAGTAAAAAAATCACTTACCTAGGAGTAAAAGACTTCCAGCTGATTTCTCAGTAGCAACCATGGAAGCCAAAAGAACAATGTCTTGAACTGCTTTGGAGAAAGTAATTGTCAACATAAAGCTTACATTGAACAATATTTTTTAAAGAATAAAAGTGAAATTAAAGAAAATAGTTTCTAAATTTATATAGCCCAATGTTTATAAACTCAAGTGGAAATAAACAACTCCAGAATCATAGTAGGATATTGTATTATAGCTCTTTCAGTATTTGTTAGAACAAACAAAAAAAAACCTTCAATGTTATAGAATATGCAGTAACAAGTTACTTGAACTAACAGACATTTATAGGATACTGCATCTAAAAACTACAGAGTATCCTTTCTTTTCAAGCACTTATGAAACATTCACAAAGATTACTGGGTCACTTAGGGAATTTCAGCAAACTTCAGAGGATTAAATGTGGCTTATGTTCTCTGACAGCAGTTTAATTAAGGTAGAAATAAATTTTTTAAATGACAGGTAGGTCATCTATATATTGGGTTATAGAATATCTGTAAGTTTCTATGAGTGGACACAAAATCATTATTGAAATTGAAAAATAATTTGAGATGGGGCGCCTGGGTGGTACAATCAGTTGATTCTTGATTTTGGCTTCAGTCATGATCTCAGGTTGTGGGTTGGATCCCATGCTTAGGCTCCACGCTTAGCAGAAAGTCTACTGATGCTTGTCCCTCTCTCTCCCCTTCTGTTCCTCCCACTGCTCGGGCTCTTGTCTGTGCTATCTCTCTGTCTCAAGTGAATAAATAAAAATAAATCTAAAAAAAATAATGGGAGCTGAATCAAAATTAAAATGTTATATTTCAAAACATTGGACCTACATAAGAGTGGTTGAAAATTTATGAGCTAAATATCCATTTCTGGGGGTTAATTAAAAAGCAACTGAAATAAACTAAAAAAAAATAAAAATAAGGAACTAATCAAAAACAAAAATTAAAGAAACACAAAATAAACATTTAGTGAGAAGTATCAGAAGAGAGAGACATATAATTTTTAGAAAGTAAAGAAATAGGTTCAAAGCTGGTATAAATTTATCTCGTGTTTGGAACCTAGAGAAGGCACAAACTACTTTTATGATATACTCTTTGGGATTTTGAGGGTCTTATTGACCTCTCAGAAATGCTGCTGCATTCTGAAAAGTAATTTTGGGAAAGTAAGTGCTGATATTTATTGAGTTTTTCAGTCCTTACAGTTAATTTTCTCAACTCATTGCACTGGTTCCACTAAGAATTTCATATTCACATTAAAGCTCCTTAGTGAAGCTGAGTCATTCCCTAGTAGTCATCCAACAAGAGTACGTAAAGAAGATTTGTATTTTACATTACTGACTTGACCTCATTATAATTTTATAACATCTTAAATTCCCTGACTGTAATACTGTCAATAAAGGAAGAAGTCATTGTCCCCAATTTATTTGGAAAACTTCTGATTTTCAACTTATTTTATTTTTTTTCAGTTTGGAAATGAAAAAAATTATACCTGGTATCATATGAATTCAGTTATATCTTTTCTCATTATTATTGTAGTATGCATATATTACTGTTTTGTTACATACCAAGTCACCAGAAAAATTTGGACCAATAACTTTCATAATCATGATAAGTCTGATCTGATAAGTCCATCTCTCAAAAACTTAAACCTAATGGAAGCTTCCACTTACCATTTCACAGACAAATCAGCATCTAAACAGAGATAGGCTGTTAATAAAAAAGGGAAAAGATGAGGCATTAACACAAAGTTCCTGCGTCCCAAATGTCCTTCCTGTGTGCCGTACTTACCATTTAAATGTATGCAGGCAAAGGGAATGTGTGCCATATAAGCCCCCAGAGCAAACACTAAAAAATTTTGTGACTGCATTTGAGAGACAAACCCAAGTCAGTTATAGACTGGCTTCTCCTTTTCTACACCCAGGGATGATATAATTGGGAGAGAACAAACATGAAATCCCTAGAAGAAATAAAACTTGAAAAAAGAAAAGAAAAAAAAAGAAGTCTTAATAAAAGGTAGCTGACAAAAAATTACGAATACACAGCAAAATGATAAGCCCTATAAAATGACCAGAGAATATTTAGTAAAACAATTTCCCATAGATTAAAAAATTATAATAATATTCTCTTTAAAAATAAAAGCTCAGGGGCGCCTGGGTGGCTCAGTCATTAAGCTTCTGCCTTGGGCTCAGGTCTTGATCCTAGGGTCCTAGGATGGAGCCCAAAGCCCCTCTTTAAGCTCCTTGCTCAGTGGGAGCCTGCTTCTCCCTCTCCCTCTGCTGCTTCCCCTGCTTGTGTTCCCTCTCTGTCTGTCAATTAAGTAAATAAAGTGTTTAAAAATAAATAAATAAAAGTTCAGTGGGACACCTGGGTGGATCAGTCCCTTAAGCCTCTGCCTCCAGCTCAGGTCATACTCTCAGGGTCCTGGGATCGTGTCCCACATTAGGCTCCCTGCTCCGGGAGCACCTGCTTCTCCCTCTGCCTGCTGCTCCCTCTGCTTGTGCTCTCCCTCTCTCTCCTCTCTCTCTCTTTCCCTGACAAATAAGTAAATAAAATCTTTTAAAAAGAAATAAGAGCTCAAAAGATACAAAAGTACAAGGGAAATATAAATTAACAAAAGGAGTTGAAAAGTAGACACACTCAGTTCAAAGGAGAAAAATAAAAGGGTCTAAGAATAAAAGTATTGCAGAGATGAACACCACAGTACAGGCTCTAAACATTGTTAGGGAGCAAGATGGTTGGGATTAAGGAGTCACACAAACACAATAAAAAGAATAAGCAAATAAGAATATAAAATAAATGAGAAAGATTGATTTAGAAAACATATACAATCATCTGACATCCACTAATTGGTGTTTCTGCAAGAAAAAAAAAGATCAAAAAGAAAAAAATTTATTTGAAACCTAATAGAGGAAAACTTCCTTAAAGACTTCAATCTTTAGCAAAAGAACACACTATGTTCTGGTATAATTATATACTGGTAAAATATATAATTATATGTAATTATATATATACATATATAATATACATTATATATATATATTATATATATATATACATATATATACATATATATATAATTAAATGTAAAATATATAAATATATACTGGTAAAATTACTGAACATAAAGAACCATAAGGAGAAAACAAAGGTTGTACAAAGTGTAGGGTGAAGATGGGAATCATCTCAGGCATCTCTTAAAACAAGAACTAAACACTCAAAGCCAGGAAAAATAAAAAAGTAAGGAAGGTATTCACCTAAGAATTTTACTTCTGACTGAGTTGTTCTTTGAGTAAAAAGGCAACAAAGAGATGTTCTCAAAATTTTAAGAATTCAGAGAATACAATACCCCTATATGTATAAAAATATCATACATCTTAATAAAATTCACTCAGTGGAAATATCCAGTCAACCTGAAGAGAAAGCAGATTTTAGAAATGAAGAAATCACCTTCAGTTAAAAGGTTTGATTGAATCCATTTAAATACAGAAGATTGAAGAGCTCCAAATTATGTTTATAGATGGGATGGCAGTATCAATCCTGAAAATATAAAAATACAGCACTAACTACGATGGGAATTGGGTGGGAGGAGAGGAGGAAATACAGGTACTAATTTTCTCATCTTCCCATATTTATGTAAGTACATAAATAAAAGGATTTAATAAAAAGATGCCTTCAAATTTCTGTAAACTTATTTATTATCTTAAAAGTAGGCAATTTTTATGGACCAGGAAATTTAACCAGCAGTGCAGTTAGGCAATAATCTCCATGAGACCACCATCACTTCTCACAGCACTTGCCAGTTTTGAAGTCCCAACAACCCACTTGGGGTTTGATGATTTGCTGAGGACTCAAAATTTACCAAAAGCTGTTACACTTGTAATTATTATTATTATTAGGATTATTAATTATTAATTATTATTAATTATTATTTACCAAAAGCTGTTACACTTGTAATTATTATTATTAGGATATGGATTAAAATCAGATGGAGGGAGAAGCAATAGGGCAGAATCAAAAGGGCACCAAATGCAAGGCTTTTAGGGGTCCTTTCATGTGGAGTCAGGATGGCATTACTCTCCTGGAACTGACATGTGACCATGTACACAGAGTATTGCCAGCTAGGGATGCTCACCAGCCTTGGTGTCTGCAGTCTTCTTTGCGGCTCCATCATTTAAATCTGTTTGGTTGCTTGTGAGGCTGACCTCTTTCCCAAATCCCTCAGAAGGTCAAGCTGGGAGACCCAAAGTCCCCACCCAACATCATGTTATTCATGTGGCTCAGAGACACTCAATCTGAATCATACTGTCACTATGTGGATGCCAAAAGCCCTTAGGCTAACACATAGAGTCCTGTTGACCATAACATTGCAAGGCATAGAGAGAATCTCCCAGAAGCTGAGAGTGAAAGCCAGACCCCTGGTTAAACTGGGGTTAAGGTTAAATTCTTGATGCTGCAGGGACTGATTTCTCTCTTGCTAAAGAAACACATAATTTAACTTCGGTTCTATTTTCTTTGGTTAAATTCAAGGGAATTAAATTAATTGCATTACTTAAAATGATGTGGTATCATTTTTATACATTATTTTATTACTCAGTTTCCTACCTTTCTCCCTATCAATTTAAACACACTTGTAATGATGCTTGTCAAATGCATTCCTTTATATAGTCTATTAAAAGTTTTTTTTAAAGATTTCATTTATTTATTTTACAGAGAGAGACACAGCGAGAGAGGGAACACAAGCAGGGGGAGTGGGAGAGGGAGAAGCAGGCCTCTTCCCACGGAGCAGGGAGCCTGACTTAGGGCTTGATCCTAGGACCCCGGGATCATGACCCGAGCTGAAGGCAGATACCCAACGACTGAGCTACCCAGGCACCCCATTAATTTTATTCATCTTTTCCCACTTATTTGCTCTATATTTATTCACTTTGTTCCTCCTCCTCTTTGTCTTTCTCTCTTCTATGTGTTCTTCCTTATTATTTTTTCTGTATTTTTAGATGACTGTTTTCTAGTTCACCTTAATAAGATAGCTTGTTTAATTGATTGGCAAAACCTCAGTTTTCTTATATATAAAAGGTAAGGGTGGGGTTGAACCAATCTGCAATTTTTCCTCCCAGAATCACCTCTTAGTGGATGGGTGGACATGACAGGTGCAGGGTAGCTGGAAATATTTGGGGACAAGGAGAGATGTCCAACTAGCTTGTTTCCCAACTTGATGAGCATGTTCTAACAAATTTGCTATCTCACAGCACAGAAGTACTGAGTGTTAGTTTAGGGATGTAAAGGTGAAAGGCCTGGGGAAAAGTTCAAAGTCAATTAAGCATCTGATCCCTTTTTTAAGGGATTGTAAATTAAAAACAGACAACGAAATTCTTGTCTTCGTATAGTTGAAACTTTGGTTTTATTAAAACTTTCAGGGGATTTTTAAAAATTTTATTTATTTATTTATTTGAGAAAGAGAGAGCATGAACAGAGGGACAGAGGGAGAGGAGAGAGAGAATCCTAAGCATGTGGGGCTGGATCTCAAGACCCTGAGATATCATGACCTGAGCTGAAACCAAAATTCAGATGCTTAACCAGTTTAGCCACCCAGGTGCCCCTGAAGGGATATTTTTGAATGACTACAAAAAGAAGAAAGCAGGAAGTGTTCCTTTTAGCTAGAGTTAGTAGAGTATGTGACTGAGCACCGAGATGTTTGGTGCTGCTCATTCAAGAATAAAATTAATGTTTTGCTAAGGTAATGTGCAACATAAAATGAAATGTAAGTAAATGCCATCATATAAGTGCTCTTTACTAATGCCTTCAGTTTTGATTTTCAAATATGTATTTAAGTTTTATCAGGAAAGTTTACTTTTTTTTCGTAAATCTGCATTCTAATTCTTTATTTCAGTTGCCTGAACATAAACTCTGCCACCAGTAGGTGTCACTGCACAAATAAATATTTCGTTATTGTTTTTGTTGTTTGTTGAATTTTATTTTTGCAGCTTCTTTTCAGTTATGACTTACTAAAGTATGATTTTCAGAAAGATGAACCCATTAGAAATGAACAGGGCTGGTGTATTCATGTGAAAAAAGGTAAGATTCTTGCGTTTGACCATGTCTTTTCAGACAAAAGTTTCTGAATTTCTGTTTAATTACTACTGAATTTAGAGAAGAAAGAATAGCTGTTACAGATATGTGATGAGATTTATTTGGAATTTCAATGCAGGTAGAATAGTTTCATTATTAGGTATTAGGGATCTCAATTGGGTCACTCGGATGGTCAGTTACTAAAATCTAAAATGGATTATTACTGGGATCCTTTTTTCCTGATCCACTCTTCTAGTTGTAACAGTAGTGTCCTCTATCACCAAGATAAAATGTAAAAAAGAATGCCTTAGTTACCACTCTAGGTATAGTGGAAAGTCAGGCAGGCTTACATTTATATCTGGGCTCTCATCCTTAGAAAATGTACAACTTTGGGCAGGCCACTCGAGCTGAGACTCATTTTCTTTATATGTAGAGTCGACAATATTTATTTTGTGAGGTTCTTGTTGACCATTAAATGAGGTGATGTATGCAGAGTCCTACAGAGAGCCTGACATGGGTTTGCTAACTACCTGCTGCTTTTCTCCATCTCACTCCCCTCCTCCACCAAGGTCTAGTTTCTGATAATTTTTTGTCAGACAATTCACTTGCTGCTGCATAGGATCAGTCTAGAGATTTCAATGTAGATATGTGCACTTGGACTTGTTTAGAGATTCAGGCTGGATAAATCAGGCCAAAATTACTTTTTACTTTTTTCAGAATATGCTTAGGCTACATTTCAAAGATGAATTCGTTTAAATCTTAACTTCAAATGTGGAGATAAAGGTTGCAAACCTGGCTTGTTTGTGTGTTTTGGTAGCTGGAAGCTTGGAAAGAATATAAGCCTTGTCTATTAAAAAACAAATCACCCTGTCCTCTAAATTTCAAACCTAAGAGCATTTATCAAATATCTTCCCCTAATTCAGGTCTGTAAGCTGTGTCCAAGAGAAAAGCCAATTCTAAAAAGATTGTAAAGAACTTTGTTTATTCACACCTTTCTAGTGTATTTTATTTTGTTTTGTTTATTTAAGATTTTTTTTTTTTTTAAGGAATCTATGCACCCAACATGGTGCTCAAACTCACAACCCCAAGATCAAGAGTTTCATGCTCTACTGACTAAGCCAGCCATACACTCCTGGTGTGTTTTATTTATTGGATTTAGGACAATATCAACATTGGAACTTGAGTCTCAGAACTGCTTGTACAAACTCAGGGTTTCTTAAAAAAAGCAGATTGTCCCTGGGCACCTGCATGGCTCAGTTGGTTAAGCGGCCGACTGGATTTTGGCTTAGGTCATGATCTCAGGATCCTGGGATTGAGCCCTGTTTGGGCTCTTCACTTAGTGGGAGTCTGCTTGAGGATTCGCGCTCACCCTCATCGTCTACTCCTCCCCTGACTTGTGCTTGCACTCTTTCTCTCTCTCTCTAAAATAAATAAATAAATCTGTAAATCTTTAAAAAAAAAAAAAAAAAGCAGATTGTCCCCAAACATTTGCTTTAGTGTTCTGTGATTCTTATTATAAATTACTCAATATTTTTTCCATTAATGATACTGCGTCTTGCATACATTTGCCTGGAATAGATAGATGAAGAATACTATGCTCTTTTTAAGCATTTGCAATAATTAATTTGTCAGGGAAGAAACTGTCAACCTGTGTCTTAAAGAAGAAAAACAAAGAATATAAATTTTAAGGGGAAGATGAGAGGCTTGGAAATTTCTGCAATAGAGGGAATGTAACTGAAGGAATATGTGTTGGAGGACAGGCTTTGGAGTCAGATGAACTTGGTTTGTAAAAACCCATCTCAGGGGCACCCGGGTGCCTCAGTCATTTAAGCCTCTGAGTCTTGATCTCAGCATGGAGCCTGAGGCTTTAAAACAACAACAACAAAGCCCACCTCCCATATTTGGTAACTGTATGACATTGGGCAAATTACTATATCTTTCTTGGTTTCTTTACTGTAAAATGTAGATGATATGAGGGCCTGTGTTACAGGTTTGTGATGAGAATCAGATAAATACGGTGCTCAGAATAGTGACTGGTCCCCAGAAAGCACTCCGGAAGTGTAACAATGGTGATGACAATGATGATGAAGGTGTCCATGATGATAGTGACAATGAGGGGCCTCTGCAGTAGCCAACGAGACAGTAGCCAGCCAAGTCTGGCTTGGCCAATGGCATATGTGCCTGTGGAAGCCAGGGTGTCCAGCAGGAGTGGGAGCAATGAACATTGAATAATGTTAAAATGACATAATTGGTTTACAGTGTTCTGGAATTAACCCCATCTGAGTAGTCATGTGGATGTTGCCTCTGTTTACAGGGGGGCAAATCGTGTCAACAATGGCCTTGGGATGTTCTGGGACAGTGATTGCTGCTCCCCTTTGTCTTCCACACTTCTTGTAGAAGTAGATTTTTATCTTGTAGCTTGCTGGGCAAAATCCTGATTAATTTGAGTAAATCTGATTGAAAATTTGTTTCAATTAATGTGTCTACATATAAAGAATACTAATAACTTTCATGCCTCATCTCTTGCCCATTGAGGATTTCCACATAACATCCTATATGGATCCTATATTTTATCCTATATTTTATCCTATAAAATAAAACATTTTCTTAAGCTTCTATTACCTTCTAGATCTGAGATAGTATTGAACAGAAACCTTGTTGCAAAATCAAGGACTTGAATTTGAGTTCTAGGTCCATTCCTTTCAACATTGTTGGACTTCAGTAACTTACTTGACCCTTCTGAGCCATGGCTCCTTCCTTGTGAAATAAGGATTTTAATTATCATTTTTAAAGGATTTCTGTAAAGAATAAATAGGATGATGTTGCAAGAGACTCATGGGGCTTGCTGCATTGTAAAAAGCCTGATAAATATTGCTACTATCATAATCTTATTAAAATTATTATTATGGTTATTTATATAGTTTCATTATTATCAGTGTTAAAATCTATGGAACTTGAAAAAAAGGTAGCCTTTGGTCTATCCACCCAGGATAGGATGTAAAATAAATTTAATGTGCCTTTGCCTGCATTCGCTTTCCTTTTTGCTAGTTTTTCCAAAGCGGTTTGTGTTGGTAGCAGTCTGTGAAAGGGTGTGTTGGATGCAGGATGCAGGCATCCAGGGTAAACATCAAATATAATAAAAATCAAGTTCAGGGGAAGAATATCAACACTGGTTGTATTAGTCAGATATAATCTAAGTACATGCATGATATGTGTAATAATAATTTTAATCAAATCACTGAAAAGTGCCTTTCTCTCCCAGGAGAACCTGGGCTGCTCATTTGTCGAGTGAATAAGAAGAATCCCTTCTTTGGTTATGCCGGGAGTAAGAAACACACAGAGAAGAAACTGCTTTGTGATGTTTTTAAGAAGGGAGATGTTTACTTTAACACAGGAGACTTAATGGTGCAAGATCAGGACAATTTCTTTTATTTCTGGGACCGTATTGGCGACACTTTCAGGTGCGAAATAGCATGGGTCATACTGCTTCTTCTGTAATTGTGAACCATGTCCAAGCAAGGCTCTGTGGAAAGATTGTAGACCACATGGTCTGTACCTTTGGGGCAGACAGAGCGCTTTCACCTCTGTAATGTCTCCCCATTTAAAAATTCAGTGGCCATCTGTTTCTAGATTAAAACCTAATTTAAGTGTTGATGTCAATTTTTATCATTATTTAAATGAATCATTTTGGTCCAAATCAGTGAGCTCCTTTTTTTAAGAATATAAAATAAGTAGACAGATGTGATGTTTAAATGGCAGAGTTGAAACAGAAACCAGTTTGGTCAAGTCTGGTCTAATTTTTGACTGAATGATAAAAACAATGAAACAGCAATATTTTCCTTTCTTACATTTTCCTTCTTAATTCCTTAAGATTATTTTAGGCTTATTCAGTGATTTTGCTTTACTACTCAATGACTGTGGAATAATGAGGGACATACAAGAGACCTTCAAAAATATGTTTGAATGGATAAATGAATCATACTTCCTAACCTTCTCCTACCAACTTACGGGCTCACTTTGTATAAAATCATTCTAATTGAATATACTCAATCCATAATTCATTCGTATTAAAGGATCCAAAGGGGTTAACCCCTAGAAATTAAAGGTCGCTACCCTGAGAGACAACTGGAACTTTCCTTTCATTTTTTTCTGACTCTATCATTAGAGATAGGCAATGTTGTGTACTTAATTGTAATTACAATTCAAAATAAAGAGGAATTATCATTCCTTTGTTTTTATGACACACTGTAGAAAAACATAGTAATCGATTTATGCCAATGAAACACAGATACAGTAAGTTTAATTAAAACAATGATTCTGCTTTTGTTGACTTCTCAGTGAAGTGCTTCCTTGGAAATGCCTTTCGTTTCAAAAACTGCCATTGTGTTTGGTTACTTGGAACTTGCCCAGAACCAAACACAAGGCACTGAAGCTAAAACTGGGTACCTACTTCTTTAGACAGAGGTACATTCATTGGAACTTGGTTTTCATTTAGGTGGAAAGGAGAAAACGTTGCCACCACAGAGGTTGCTGACGTTATTGGAATGTTGGATTTCATACAGGAGACAAATGTCTATGGGGTGACAGTGCCAGGTACGAGTATATTTCAGGTTTGGAAGAATTCTCAAAATAGAATGTGTTGCTTTTCTTTACTTTTGTAATGATCTTACTAATTTGACATTTCATTTTTTGGTATATTAAATATCTTAGTCTTGTCTTGGCAAGTAATGCCCTAGACCAGGCTAACAAATGCCAATGGTCACATCCAGAACCAACTTAATTTTAATGGATGTGTGTATTTTTAAGTAAAGCTTGAAAATTCTGGTCCATGACTCACTGCTTGAAAATAATTCCAGCTTTTCAATAGTCTGTTATTGTTCCCTTTATGACTAGAGTTTATGCATGCCACTAAATAGGAACACATGTAGTTTAAATGTTTAGTAACACTGACTTGTGGTTACGTTGAATCCCTTTTTTTTTTGAAGATTTTATTTATTTGAGAGACAGAGAGCTTGCATGAGTAGGTGGAGGGCAGAGGGAGAGGGAGAGCTAGAAATAGACTTGCTACTGAGCAGGGAGCCCAGGATCATGACCTGAGGTAAAAGCAGCTGCTGAACCAGCTGAGCCACTGAGGAGCCCTAGTTATTAACCTTTTTATTTTTACTTTTTTAAAGATTTTATTTTTATTTATTTGACAGAGATCACAAGTAGGCAGAGAGACAGGCTGAGGGGGGGAACGAGGGGAGGGGCAGGGAAGCAGGCTCCCCGCTGAGCAGAGAGCCCTATGCGGAGCTCGATTCCAGGACCCCGGGATCATGACCTGAGCCAAAGGCAGATGCTTAACCCATTGAGCCACCCAGGTGCCCCTTCAGTTGAACCTTTATAAAAAATAATTTAAAAACTTGTTTGGCTTCATTTATCTTTGTAAATGTGCATATGAGGATTGTCTCATGATGGTGAAAATGACAAAGCAAAGTTACCAAACTGAAATGATAGGATAGCTGTTCTCCTTTGCTGTTTTGTTTTGTTTTGAAAAGTATAAATAATGTCCAACTAATGTTTATAGGTGCCCAGGACAATGGGATGGAAGTGTTTAAATGAGGAGCAGAGGAAGGGGATGTTTACTCTACTAGACCTTGGGTGTTGTCTATACTGTTTCCCTGGAAAAACCCATAGGTGGCATGATAAGCACTAAGTGATTGTGGAATTCAATACCAGTCTGGTTTTTAAATTTAAAAACAATGTTGCCTTTTAATTTTTGTATTGACTCTTAACATGGATATTTGTCTGGAATATATTCACCGTTAAATAAGTGTTTCCTCCCAATATTTTATATTAATGGTGGTAGAATGCAAACTGGGGGATATTTATGGTGTTTTCTATTCCATCTATTTCATTTGTGTAGTGTCGACAGTCAAGAATAGACTGTATCCTTTCCTTTCCTGACTTATTTCTGGGACATCGATCATATGCTCGGGGAGAGATCCACTCATTTATACTGTTGTTGCATTGTTACTGCTGTGATAGGATTAATGTCCCCATTTGCAATAATTAGTATGTGATTAAGAGAATCATTTTAAAAATCACCTAGTGCTTGTAAAATTAATGCTATTTTAAACTTTTTTTTCAGATTATGAAGGAAAAGCAGGAATGGCTTCTATTACTTTAAAACCAAATAAGTCTCTGGACTTGGAGAAGGTTTATGAACAAGTTGTAACATTCTTACCAGCTTATGCCTGCCCACGATTTTTAAGAATTCAGGTAACTCTACTGTTTGAATTTTAAGAATTCAAGTAATATTACTTAACTAAAGATTCAACTTAACTACAAGACCAGGAATCCAGGAGATGGTTTATTTATAAGATAATATTTTATCTTTTAGATAATATGTGCATTTGATTTATATTAGAAAACCTCAAGAATAATGAAAAGCATTGGGATGCTAATTTATGCCGTATTTGAAGCCTAATTATAGAAGGGAACTTGATGAAATGCTAGGATGTCTTTGTCTTTGTCCTAATTATAGACTTGCTTTCTTCCTCTTCACTCAAGACCTCAGCAATGGTGCAAGCCCAAACTCCATTGTACACAAGCCTTGTGAAGACACTTGGTGCTCTATGCCTAGAACTGTGTTCCACCAGGCTGACATCCAGGTGTCTGAGGATGTGTGCAGAATGGAAAGGCAATTGGCTTTAAGCAATTCTGCTTTTAATTTTTACCCTTGTTCTGTCCAGCCTTCCTCTGGGACTGTATACTTTTAGGGAATTCTCAGTTTATTTGTTTTGAGAGGTGGGCATTCTCTTGTTAGGTTGCTAGAATAAAATACAGTAAAAAGAAGAGTTTGCTCAGCCACTGGATGAATTTGCTCACTCATTTATTCAGCCATTCATGTATTTAATACTGTGTCCCCAAAGCTAGTACTTATCTCTTAACATCCAATCACAAAACTTTTCTGGATACATTCATCATATCACTCTTAGATCCCTAGCGGAACAATCGATAGCATCATATTCATCTTCCAAGCATTTGCTGAGCAATCTTCATGGCCCTGTCATGGCTTGGTCAAAGGGATGCATATCTGAACTCTCATAAATATATATTTCATTTACATAATTTTTAAAATATTCATTTACATAATTTTTAAGAGCTTTCGTACGCATTGTCTCAGATTATTTTCATAGCGGTCCTCTGAAATGCCAAAGGTAAGCAGAAGTATGAAGCAGAATTAATACATTTCGATTGAAATTTTTATTGAGATTGTTGTAGTCATGCTATTGGAAGAAATAACACAGAGAAAGATCCTTAGTGTAGCGATTACTCAATTTCCTCCAGCGGTGTTATTTTTCAAAACTGTTATAACCTGGACATTGATGTTGATACAATCTACCCATCTTATTAAATTTTGTGTTTACCTATGTGTGTGTGTGTGTGTGTGTGTGTGTGTGTATTAAGATCTATACACTCTTATCACCTGTATTGCTTCTTCACCAATGACTACAGCCAAGATATGAACAATTCTGACACCACAGGATGTCTCATGTCTCCCTTTTATAATCACATTCAGTTCTCTCTTGAATTTCCCCATACTACCTTAGAAATAATATATTTTAATTGGGTAGACAGTTGGTAGTTTAAATAATATCTTAAACACATTTCCCCTAGGGCAACTTAAAATTCACTTTCATTAAGAAGAAGAAATATTTTGGCATAGAACTTTTCTAGAAATCTAAGTCAGTCTTACACAAACTTAGAAAATGCTTTAGCATCATTTAACACCTAAAGAAATAGAAATGTGACTGTTACATTTATTATAGTATTTGCTATAGTTAGTACAATGCATCATACTTAGTTGGCAGTAACAATATTTATTTAACAAATGAATTATAATAAATTATCTGATATAAGCAGTACAAAACTTTAAGTCACTTCTGACAAAGTAAATAAAACAACTATCTTATCAAAATCAAAATCTTACCAAAATCCATTCAGCAAAAATTTAAAAAATGATTATTTTTGCTACTAAATTTACAAAAAAATTTTTTCTAAAAGATTTATTTATTCTGGGGGTGGGCAGAGAAAGGGCAAAGGGAGAGAGAGAATCCTCAGGAAGACTCACCCTGGGCCCAGAGCCCTGTGTGGGGCTCCCTCCAAGGACACTGAGATCATGACCTGAGCCAAAATTAAGAGTCAGACACTTGGAGCACTGGGAGTTATACGTAAACAATGAATCTTGGAACACTACATCAGAAACTAATGAGGTACTATATGGCGACTAATATAACATTAAAAAAGAGAGAGAGACTTAACTGCCTGAGCCACCCAGGCACCCTAAATTTACAAAAAAAAAAAAAAAAATTAATGTGATATTACTTAGTATGGGTGGGATGAAATTAAATTGATCCTTTCATTCTGCTTGTGGAAACACAAACTGTTATAACCTCACTAGAAAACAAGTTGGTATATATATAATTAGGCTCTTAGAATTTACATATGTTTTGACTTAGTAATTTCATTTCCAGAAATGTATCCTTAAAAAGTAATCAAAGCTGAACAAATGTTATATATAAAGATGCTCTACAAAATGTTATTTATAGCAGTTAAAAATTTTGATATTCTTTATTAGTTAGAATAAGAATAATGTTAATTAAAATATTATAATTAGATGAGATCTTATTAAACCATTACCTAATAGTTTTTATTACTAAAGAAAAATTACCTTACCTGTAGAAATACACCCAGCGTATTATAGAGCTGGGGTTTTTTGTTTGTTTATTTAGATTTTATTTATTTACATAGTATAGAGAGAGGTGGGGAGAGAGCACAAAAGTGGAGTAGGAAGAAGGGCAGAGGGAGAGAAGCATCCCATGCAGACTCTGTGCTGATTGTGGAGCTGATGGGGCCAGATGCCAGGACCCTGAGACAAAATCAAAGAGTTTGGAGCTCAACCAACTGAGCTACCCAGGTGCCGCTAGAGCTGTGTGTGTGTGTGTGTGTGTGTGTGTGTGTGTGTGTGTGTGTGTGTGTGTGTGTGTTTAAGGCAGAATATCAATTGTATACATACGGGGAGTTTTTAATTTTCTAAAAATGAGAAAAAGAGTATGTGTTTCCACACAGTCAGATCTAATTCTGTGATGACAGTGTTGGGAAGAAGGTGGGATAGAAAGGATGAGATCAGGGAAGGAGGTGCAGAGAGAACTTGAGTCTTGCATTAGTCCAGAAGGATGAATAAAAATGGCTAGGTGACTCATAGAACCTTATAAAGACCTCTCTGTGTCATCTGACTTAAAGCCGGTTACTTCTCCATGCCTGAAGTTGTCACAGAGAGATACACTTTATCTCTTAAATCCCTTAAAGCAGAGAGCTTCTTAAACTTTCTAGATTCATGGCATCTCTAGAGTCTCAGTATTTCCTGGCATTTGGGATTCACCAAATACCTAAATTTTCTTTTTTTCAGTATTTAGGTCAAAAGAAATTCATTAAGTTTTTAGGTCTAACAAATTAATTGCTCTTTGGAAAAATAGTGTATATAAATTGAAAGCTAAAAAATACTCTTATTTTTAGGCAACCACAACTACCAGAGAGATGTAAATTGGGCATTGTACAACTCCTCAAACCTTGGAATTAGATTGGACTGTACAGGGAGAGCCTAATTCCTTGTCCCACATTGATTTGGAGCTGTACTTGCCTTTTATCACAGCAACCACTGAAAACCCTGTTTCACAAAGATATGGCATCGTTGAAAAGAATGTGTCACAAACTAATATTGGAAGTATGAACTACCTTGAGCTAGTAGTTAGCAAGCAGTGACCAACAGATATCACTGGGTTTACCTGGAAAATTTAAAATACACCTTAGAGACACTGGAATTTCACAGAAGTACCACAGAGCACCTCAGTGCACAGTTTGAGAACCCAGGATTTAGATCATCTTTTACTCCTTCTGGTTTTTATAGTATTTGGCCTTATGGAATGGAATGTTCTCTTTCATAGGTTTTATCTTCTTGGTGTCTAATAGCATTTCCTGTACATGTTGTTGTGTTGACAGTGAATTAAAGAAATAAGCCTATGTATTTTAGACGCTTCTATAGTTGGTTGTAATTAGTTTTTGACAATTTTCATAATTCTTCTATATTAAATAAAGTTCAGAGGTAAATCAAGCTAAAAATTCCACTGTTCTAGAGGGCATTTTTTAAAATTTCTGATGTTAAATTATTAGTAGTAAATAGATTGTCACTGAATATAAAAGTGTTATAATTAAATATTACAGTCTATCTTATTATTGACTATTCCGTTTATAGATTTTAGATAATATTAAATGATTCCACTAATCCTGACAATTGCTTTGTAGGAGAAGATGGAAACAACAGGGACATTCAAACTACAGAAGTTTCAATTGATGGAAGAAGGATTTAGTCCATTGAAAATTTCTGACCCACTTTATTTCATGGATAACTTGAAAAAATCTTATGTTCCACTGACCAAAGAACTTTATGATCAAATAGTGTTAGGGAAGGTCAAACTTTAAGAATTTTTACACATGGGATTTTCATGTTTTCTTAGGAGAAGTGAAAGTGTCTGATTCTTTAACACGATATGGGAGGAGGATATTAACATATGCTGTGTTTTCTTAATATGCAACAACTTTTTGCTAAGTAGGAACTTTCATTTGTTTTAGACCATAACAAACTTTAGTTGATTATTTGTTTTATCTATCTGGGGGTTCACTGCATAACTAAATATTTGCTTCAGTCATAAAGATTCTAAATAATCAGTAGTTAAAAATTTAGAAACTTACTACAAATGTACTTTTTACTATTTAAAGTTTCTAGTTTTGAGTAAATGGTTAAATTTTGCTCAAATGTTTTATTCTTATGCACCCTGCCCTATAACTCAATAAAATCATCTTCATTAATATGTGTTTTGAGGTTCTGTTCTGATGTTTTAACTGTAAACTTCTAGTCCAAGGAAGCTGACTGAACTCATGCATACATTCCTGTCTCCCTTATTGAACTCACATTCTGATGATAGAAGAAATACAGAAGTGTTTTACAGCAAACCAAGAAAACCAGTAAGCCCTAAACATTTAGGAATTTTTGGAAGATACATAAACAAGATCAAATTAATGGTAAAATCCAACAGAACTGTAGAAACCACTGGTGATACAGAAAAAGAATGGACTACAATAGAATGTAGGTATTGACACTAAGATAAGAGGCAGAAGAGACTTTGAGTGTGAGCAGGTTTGTGGTTATTAACAGAAATGCATTGCAAGGACAATATAAGACACACAGTTGGACTTCTTCCGGTCTGGAAGCAACAACCTCCAAGGTTTGCTTCAAGCTGGAACCACGTAAATGACTCTCTTGGTAAAGTGAGCTCGCTTCCAGAGGAGGAGGTTGTGGAGCTAGGCTTAAATGGAGCGGAGCGCAACAGGAAGCTTCTTTGCCAATAAACCTAGCTCCCTGTACAAGGAGAAGGAAAGTTAGCTTTGCCTCCTGTTAAAAAGCTTATTTGGGGGAAAGCCTGGGTGTCTCAGTGGTTAAGCGTCTGCCTTTGGCTCAGGCCATGATGCCAGGGTCCTGGGATGGAGCTCTGCATCTGGTTCCCTCCGCAGTGGGGAGTCTGCTTCTCCCTCTCCCCCTGTTCCTTCTCTCTCTTTATGTCTCTCTGTCTCTCTATCTCACTTGCTCATTCTCTTTCTCAAATAAGTAAACAAAACCTTAAAAAAATAAAAGCTTATTTTGGTTGGAAGAGAAGTTGCAGATACAGTGGTTCCTTTTTGTACTTACTAGGAAAACAAGAGTTACAAAATTAAAATATTTTTTAAATGTATAGGTTAAGCCTAGTAGCATAGAAATAAAATGTAAAGCTTTAAGATGGAAAAAATGACAAGATGTAATCAACTTTGCAGAAATAAAAAATTTTAAAAGAAAAAAATTCTTAAGTCAGAATGAATTAAAGTAAGTCTAAGTGTATCCCTTCTCCTGTTAAATATATGAGAATGGATGAATGGTCTTTATTAAAAACTATTAAGTGAATGAATAAATTGGCACTTGATTTTTATATTGGTGATTTGGATTCTTTACCTTTCCCATTAAAAATCTGTTCTGTCTTTATGTACATAGTTTTGATTTATGTGCTTTTTACTGCAATAAATCTGAATGAACATTTTACTACTAACTCATAACTTTTTAAAATTGTTAGAGATGAGAAAATGATGGTGAATTTAGCATACATATCTTACTCCCTTACCTGTAACTTTCCTGTCAAATTCATTATAGTAAAAGACAAAATATCATGAAAACAATAATCCACTAAAAGATGGGGGAATGGAGGGAACAAGAGAGTCTGTCTTCAGTGGATAAAACATTGTCAGAAATTACTGGAAAATAGGAAACACATGAGACCAGGTTTTCAAAGAAACCATAGATGGATGGGGGGGAAAAGCCTCACACTTATACCATTGAAAAACGCTTCAAAGCAAAAGAAACCAACCACATAGAAAACACATCTAAAGACCAAGATGGGTCCTCTGTGTAATTAATTAGGGTAATTAATTGTAGAAAATTGAGATAATGAGTTTCTCTGCCTTTCCCTTGATTATAGAAAATTTCCATCAGTGCACAAAATAACTCATGACATAAAAGAAATAGAAAATAAGATCCCATGACATTCAAAACTTCTTTAAGACAAAAGACACTAAGGATTAAAGTTTTTAAAGAGCTAGAAACTAAGAGAGAATGTCTAGAAACCTGGGGAAGGAAGTTGCCCACATTTATTATATATTAAGAACATTTTCACAAAAAAGGGGGGGGGAGGCAAAAGGAAGAGAAGATGAATTCTCTTCCAAAGGAGAAAGAATATAAAAAAAAAAAAAATGGAACCCCTACCAAGATCCAAGTTTACTAGGACAAAAGCAGGGGGCAAGGAGGTTTTCTGATTTTAATTTCTAAGAAATGAAATCCTCAAGAAAATGTAGATAAGAGAGGTTCTAGAATCTAGATTAGAAAGTCTCTGGTCTTAGAGTCACAGAGACTTATGAGAAGTCATGAGGCTAATTCAGAAACAGAATGGTCCCCATGACTTTGACTTTAGCAGGAAATTAATGAGAAGGACATTTGGCTTCTAGAGGGCTAGGTGCTAGAATAGGGGCATCTCCGTGGCTAACTGCATGGATCTTTGACTGCGAACCAAATAAAACTGACTTTTCCAGAGAGAACTGCATGGTGGGTAACCCAATGCCCCCCTCCTCTCCAGTATCCACAGCACATTCCCAAGGATGTAGACCCAAATTTGAGGGAAATGATAGAAGAGAAGCCAAAATAGCTTGAAATTAAGTGCTTCCATCTTGCCCTTCAAAATGGAAATTAGATTAATTCTGGTTCAAACTGAAATTCAGTTTCTTAACTTCTAATTCTTGACATGGATGAAAAATTGCAGTAAAGGATCTCTACAAATAATCTCAGAATTGTCATTGATTGTGTTTCTTAGGGTCTTCTAGTAGGATTCATGATGCAATTCTCTTAGAACTGGTAGATATTTTACTTCTTTCTACCTATTTATGAATTGGGGCCAGAATAGAAAGAGCAGCCAAGGGATTACTTTGCTTCCATAGGCATGATGCATGGGAACAAAGGACCCATACCGGTAATGGGTGGGTCAAAGACAGGCTTATGCTGACATTAAGCCGCCAGATTTGGGAATGGAATTAGCTAAATCATTGACTGTCTTTTTGTTTTGTTTTGTTTTGTTTTGTTTTGGTTTGGTTTGGTTTGCCTGTCTTTTTTTACAATGACTCTTCTTTATGCTATTTCTTGAATGTACTATTATCTGTAAGTGAACCTCTGGGCCAAAAAAATGCCATTTTCCACAGGCATATGTTTTATAAATTGTCAATGACATAATGGAAAAGTAAAGCAAATTCTCCATTTATTAAGAGCTGCAGTATTGAAACTAGATATATTTTCATGCAAATGAGCTACAAATATTGAAGATAATATGTGAAAGCTTATGCCACAAAAGCAGTAACATAGGGACAGATTTCTGTCAGAGTAAGTTTAGCAAACAAAAAGGCAATTCTTTCTTGATGTTGCCAAGAAAACCAGTAAGGGAAAAATAGAAACTAATTGGTTTATATCAAAGATAACGGTTAAATCTACTTCTGTGAATCCTGCACTAATCAAATATTTTGGTGATTGTTAGGCAAGCCAAACCATTATGTTTATTTTTTTTTTTGAGAGTTTTAAATTTTATTTTTTTTTTAAACATATAATATCTTTTTATCCCCAGGGGTACAGGTCTGTGAATCGCCAGGTTTACACACTTCACAGCACTCACCATAGCACATACCCTCCCCAATGTCCATAATCCCACCCCCCCAACCCCCCTCCCCCCATTAACCCTCAGTTTGTTTTGTGAGATTAAGAGTCAATTATGGTTTGTCTCCCTCCCAATCCCATCTTGTTTCATTTATTCTTCTCCTACCCCCTTAACCCCCCATGTTGCATCTCCTCTCCCTCATATCAGGGAGATCATATGATAGTTGTCTTTCTCCGATTGACTTATTTCGCTAAGCATGATACCCTCTAGTTCCATCCACGTCGTCGCAAATGGCAAGATTTCATTTCTTTTGATGGCTGCATAGTATTCCATTGTGTATATATACCACATCTTCTTTATCCATTCGTCTGTTGATGGACATCTAGGTTCTTTCCATACTTTGGCTATTGTAGACATTGCTGCTATAAACATTCGGGTGCACGTGCCCCTTCGGATCACTACGTTTGTATCTTTAGGGTAAATACCCAGCAGTGCAATTGCTGGGTCATAGGGTAGTTCTATTTTCAACATTTTGAGGAACCTCCATGCTGTTTTCCAGAGGGGTTGCACCAGCTTGCATTCCCACCAACAGTGTAGGAGGGTTCCCCTTTCTCCGCATCCTCGCCAGCATCTGTCATTTCCTGACTTGTTAATTTTAGCCATTCTGACTGGTGTGAGGTGGTATCTCATTGTGGTTTTGATTTGTATTTCCCTGATGCCGAGTGATGTGGAGCACTTTTTCATGTGTCTGTTGGCCATCTGGATGTCTTCTTTGCAGAAATGTCTGTTCATGTCCTCCGCCCATTTCTTGATTGGATTATTTGTTCTTTGGGTGTTGAGTTTGCTAAGTTCTTTATAGATTTTGGACACTAGCCCTTTATCTGATATGTCATTTGCAAATATCTTCTCCCATTCTGTCAGTTGTCTTTTGGTTTTGTTAACTGTTTCCTTTGCTGTGCAAAAGCTTTTGATCTTGATAAAATCCCAATAGTTCATTTTTGCCCTTGCTTCCCTTGCCTTTGGCGATGTTCCTAGGAAGATGTTGCTGCGGCTGAGGTCGAAGAGGTTGCTGCCTGTGTTCTCCTCAAGGATTTTGATGGATTCCTTTCTCACATTGAGATCCTTCATCCATTTTGAGTCTATTTTCGTGTGTGGTGTAAGGAAATGATCCAATTTCATTTTTCTGCCTGTGGCTGTCCAATTTTCCCAACACCATTTATTGAAGAGGCTGTCTTTTTTCCATTGGACATTCTTTCCTGCTTTGTTGAAGATTAGTTGACCATAGAGTTGAGGGTCTATTTCTGGGCTCTCTATTCTGTTCCATTGATCTATGTGTCTGTTTTTGTGCCAGTACCATGCTGTCTTGATGATGACAGCTTTGTAATAGAGCTTGAAGTCCGGAATTGTGATGCCACCAACTTTGGCTTTCTTTTTCAATATTGCTTTGGCTATTCGAGGTCTTTTCTGGTTCCATATAAATTTTAGGATTATTTGTTCCATTTCTTTGAAAAAAATGGATGGTACTTTGATAGGAATTGCATTAAATGTGTAGATTGCTTTAGGTAGCA